GCCTGACGGTGGCCGGGAGGGGCAGGCCCCGTGTAGGCTGCCTGGTCCGTAACTCCCTGGTGCACTGCGGTGTGCAGGAACACCTAACCGACGCAATTCGATCAGGCTGTGGCTGACAGGGAGAGAAGCTGGGTCTCCTATATAAGCTTGCATATATAAGGAACAGAGAATATGGGAAGAGGCAGCAACAAGAAAGGCTCCTCAGCCCCCAATTCTGAGAAACAGGTAATAGCGGACATCGCACCAATAGACATGAAGCACCATATAGAGAGCCTCATAGATCAATTCAGGAATGAAGTTATCAATGACCTGAAGCTAGAAGTATGCAGAATAGTTAGAGAAATGCTAAGCACCACCCAAGAAAAAACAGATGGTGGAATGGAAGAACAGAAAAAGAGGGGAGAATTGTTTGATGGAGAAAACAGAGAAAGCATAGAATACATGAAGCAGGTTCAAAGGGACTACCAAGAAACTAAGAAGTCTATCGAAGACTGGCATAACAGCTTGAAAGAAACTAAGGACAGACTATCTGAACTGGAGGGCAGACTTGCAATATGGGAGAATGAAATGAAAAACTTCTTAAAAATAACAAAGAAACAAACAGCAATAATACAAAGACAAGAAGATGATAAGAGGATCCATAACTTAAGGATTAAGAACATAAAAGAAGAAGTAGGGACACAAACAAGTGAACTACAAAAGCTACTCACAGAAATAATCCAAGAGAATTTTCCTAATTTAGCAAAAGGTAAAGATACTCAGTTGTATGAGGCATACAGGACCCCAGCTACCTACAACCCAAACAGAGCAACAACCAGGCATATAATAATAAAAATTCCAGAAATTCAATACAAGAACAGAATATTAAAAGCTGTCAGAGACAAGAGACAGACCACTTACAAGGGAGCACCCATCAGAATTACAGCAGATTTCTCTGCACAAACCATCAAATCACGAAGAGCATGGGGGGAAATAATTCAAGCTTTGAAAGATAATAATCTCCAGCCAAGATTGAAATATCCTGCACAACTGTCCCTGGAAATTGATGGAAAAACAAGGTGCTTCCAGGATAAAGAGGAACTGGGGAAATTTGCAACCATCAATTCAACTCTACAGAGAGTATTGCAGGATATTCTAAAACAAGAAAAATACAAAGAATCCAGAAATAGTGGCGGGGAGGCCACAATGAATGGAGCAGAGAACAAAATGAAGAAGACAAACTGACAGCTACTGACAGAAAAAGAGCTCAACAGAAATGAGGCAGAGAAGACTGGATGATAGGAATAGCTATTTTGGAGAAAATGACATCTTAATAGGTAATACTGATTTAGTATCATCTTGTTTTGAAGTCTCATCTAGCTTTTGTTCTTCTGTCTCCAATGGTCTAAATAGGTTGTATCTTATTGGATTTTATTATGTACGATAGTATAAGCAAAAACCTTTTAAAGACAAGGAGATTATACAGAAACCATTGTTCATTTTCTGTTAGTCGATTCTAAATACTCTGTAATGCTGTCATTCTCTTAAATGGTTTTACATTGTTTTGATATACTTAATGCTACAGTATACAAAGTTGTACTCAAGGATTTCAAGGAAAGAGACAATATGGTAACTACTTTTAGGTCAGGATTATCTGGTGGTGAAACACTATTCTGCTTAAATGGTTATGTTTTGATCTGCGCTGTTTTGCTGTTATGCCCTCTTTTATCTCAATCTCCACTCCATTATTTACTTTTTTATTTTTATCCTTTTAATTAAAGGAAAAAAATAGCAGGATATATTATAGTAACCCACTTTGACTTTCCATTATCTCGATTTAAAGCCCTGTGTTACTCTCACCATCTTGTTTTTGACTGATGTTCCCCTATTCTGTTTTTCTGGATAGTATCAGGCTCGAAAGTTTAGGCATCAGCTGTGAAGATAATGAGATTCATTATAATGCCCATTCTCGTTGACTTTTATCTACTTTTGAAGACCTACAATGTCTCCAAAGTTTTGGTTTTGTTGGTTTTATTCTTTACTGTTTTGTTCAATTGTATTATAACTAATGATATAGGCAATTCTACTAGAGATAGCGGGAGGCATTATGGTAACCATTGTTGATCACCTTGTATTATGTTTTTACATTATCTATTATGTCCACCCTTTTGACTTGACCGATTCTGTTCTGTTATGTCACATTTGGTTTTACTCTCTTCCAAAAAAAGTAATAAGAACAGTGGGAGCAATGAAACCCAAAATGTGTAATAGTCATTTTACAAAAGAGAGGAAAAGAAAGTGCTCTAAACTATATAACTGCATGTATATTTAAGTGTATAAGATAGAAAATGATATCACAGAGTTTTATTGGATCATTGAACAGAACTGTTTGCAGTATCATTGTTGGAATGTCCACTTTACAAGCTTTAATTTTGTGACTTGAACAATTATTTCTAAGATGACAATATGTAATCCATTAACTAGTGATTTCCTACTGTTTATTTTTTTCTGTAAATCTGTATAACTTGTACCCTTTCTCTGCTTTTTTTTCTTCTTTTTTCTTTTCTCCTTAAATAAAATTTAAAAAAAAAGAAAATATATAATGTGAAAGAAGTAGAACCAATAATAGAATGTAAGGGGCTAGGGATTTAGCCTTCCTTGCAAGTATGCGGTCGTGAGTTCGATTCCTGGTACTGATAAAAACGAAAAAGACAAAAAAATAGAATGTAAGCATTTCTGAAAAAAAGAAGAGATGGTTAAATATGTTTTTAAGGATAAACAAGGAAACAAAACTTTTTATCACTAAATGAACCACACGGAGATACAAACACATGCACATACACACACATACCCAAATATACTTGAATATCCATGATTTCCATAGGCTGTGTCTGAAAGATACACAAGAAAGTTGTAATAATAGTTATCTCTGGATAGAGAACAAGAAGAAGGAACCAGAGAATAGGGATAAGGGAATAAGGAAAGATAATATATAACTTGATTGTATATTCTTTCATATTGCCTGAAATATTATTTTTTTTTTTTTGCCTTTTGAAACAGTTTCACTATGCAGTTCAGGCTGGTTTTGAACTCACTTTGTAGCCCAGGTTGGCTTCAAACTCATAGCAATCCTCCTGCCTCAGTTTCCCGAGTGCTGGGATTACAGGGATGCACCACCATGTCCAGCATGTCGCCTGAATTTTTTGCCATATGCAAGTGTGTTGCTTTGTTTTGTTTTCTTTCTAGTTCTAGGGTCTGAACTCAGGTCCTTTACACTGAGCAACATTCTTAGCTCTTTTTATTTTTTATTTTGAGACAGGATCTTACTAAGTCACACAGGCTGGACTTGTAGCGCTCTTGATTTATCTCCTCAGAATGCTGGCATCAGTATCTGAGGGCCCCATCACGCCCAGGACAGGTATTGTTAGCAAAACTTCAAAAATATTTTAAAGTGCCAGGGATTTAGCTCAGTTGTACAAGCGCCTGCCTGGCAAGCATGAGGTTGAGAGTTTGATCCCTAGTATCAAAAACAAATATTTTAACTACTCCCATATAATAGTACACACAGTCTTTCATCTAGCACTTACATATCTAAGATTTTTATCTTAATGGTATACTTACACATATTGGCAAAGATGCATGAACACAGTTGCGTGCGGATGGTACATACCTGCAATCCAAACACTTGGGTGACTGAGGCTAGAGGATCACAAGTTCAAGGACAGTTTGATACAAAACACAAGATACAAAACACAAACAAACACTACAGTAGTGTTTGTTACTAAACAAATACTAAAAATAAATTTAAATATTCATTAATACATGACTGGTTAACTACATCATATTATGCCTTTAAAATAGAAATTAATTTTTAAAAAAGGTAAAATTCTATGTAGCAATGAAAAGCATGAACTATTGATATATTAAACACAGATGAAGCTTACAATGTTATTTGTTTTTCAGTACTGGAGACTGAATGCAAGGTATTCACAATGAGCTGTAACCACTCCTGTTTTGGTTTGAGACAAGGTCTTGCAAAATTACCCAGGCTGGGCTCTAACTTACGGTAGTCCTGCCTCAGCCTCCCAGAGTGCTAGAATTACAGGCATGCATCACCATGCCTGCCTTCACAATGTTACATGAGAGAAGTCAGATCCAAAAGGGTGCATATTATATATGATTTCATTTTATGTAAAATTCAAATGTAGGCAATAAATATATGAATATAAAAGTGAGAGTGTGATTAATTTTGGGAGTGAATTATAACTGAGTGGGAGCCCCAGGAGCCAATCTTTTATTCAATATCCCAGAGTAAAACTACAGCTGGCTTGCTCATATTAATCAACTCAGATCTGGATTTGGTCTGTCCATGTTGTCTGCTAGTGACAGCAGAGATACACCTTGAAGTGGACAATATTTTCCCTTCCTTCCTTTTTATTTTCCTTCTATTTGTGTTTCATTTGTTTTTTTCTTGATTGCTTGTTCTTGTTTTTATGAGAGCGAATACATGGGTCCTAGTTTATTTGTTTTTTTTTTTCCTGTTCTTTTTATATCTCTTTCTTTCCTTTCTGTATTTTCACCAGTTTCCCAAAGCGTGGGTGATCTTTTTTTGCCAGCCTTGGTTCTAATATCTTTCTCTTCTTTTTCACCCTCCTCAATTCCTGTTAAAAATTTTCTCTCCTGAGTGTAAAACTGCTATTTTGAGGGCTTATTTACTGCATACAATATTCTGGTTTGTTTTGGATTTTTCTATATAACCCCAAATCTAGCTCCAGGTGGTAAAGTAATAGTTACCTCAGTTTGTCATTTAGCAGGCTATGTTACATGGTACTGTTATTATTAATTGTACTACTTCAGCCAAGGTGACATAATTGTTCTAACTAGTGGTTCTTCTTGATTTATCAAAACTGAGACTGCCTAAAGTCATAAAAGATGCTATAGGCCAGTGCCAAAAAAAAAAAAAACAGGGGGCTAGGTCAAACAGGGAAAAAGTCCTCATTCCCAGTAAATTCAAGACATAGCATTTTTTAAAATTTTATTTTGAAAGTAGTAAAATACAACAGAACAAGACAGAATAAAGCCAACTAAGATTGTACAGTGAAATTGGTACAGAACTTCATAGCAGGTTACCGGGATAACAGTAATAGGTATCACAGCATATTTCGTTATCTTTAAAATAGTTGTTCTTTCAATCACGTATATCAAAATAAAATGAAATACAAAACATTATAGAACTCAACAAAATAGAATATTGAATAGAGCAGTACCATTAATCAGAATAAAGCAAAACAGTAATAAAAATATTTGCCTTCAAAGAGATGGTAGAAGGAAATCCTCATTATTTGCTATGGTCAACCTCCCAGTAGATGCTCAGATTTCTGGTTCTCATTTGCTAACAGGGGGACAGAAGAAGGGGGGTAGGGGAACTGGGATGTTTGACGCTAGGCCGTGCACCAGTAGGCTCCTATTGCTTAGCAGGGAGGCAGGCTGGTTGCTTGGTTTCCCAGCATTGTAAATTTCAACATGATGTGGATCTCAGAAGACACTGGTGGTTCTCCCCCTAAAGAGGCCATAGTCTGCCACACTGCAGCTAGTAACCAGGGAGGTGAGGTTCTTGCTTGGTTTCGCAGGGTCCTAAGATCCAACACAGCACAGATCTCAGGAGACACTGGTGATTCTCCCCTTGAAGAGCCACAGTCTGCTACACGCCATCACTTAACAGAGAGGAGAGGTGCTTGCTTGGCTTCTGAGCGTCCCAAGATCCAACACGGCGCAGATCTCAGGAGACACTGGTGGTTCTCCCCCTGGAAGGGTCACAGTCTACCACACCACCACCACTTACCAGGGATGGGAGCTGCTTGCTTGGTCTCCCAGGGTCCTAAGTTCCAACATGGCGTGAATCTCGGGAAACACTAGTGGTTCTCCCCCGGAAGGGCTTCACTCTGCCACACTGCAGCCACTAAACAGGGAGGTGAGCTTGTTGGTTTCCCAGGGTCCTAAGATCCAACACGGCACAGATTTCAGGTGGTTCTCCCGCTGGAAGGGGCACAGTCTGCCACACCACTGCCACTTACCTGGGAGGGGAGCTGCTTGCTTGGTTTCCCAGCACCCTAAGTTCAAACCTGGTGCAGATCTCAGGAGACACTGGTGGTTCTCCCCCTGGAAGGGGTGCAGTCTGCCACACCACAGCCACTAACCAGGAGGGGAGGTGCTTGCTTGGCTTCCGAGCCTCCTAAGATCCAACATGGCACAGATCTCAGGAGACACTGATGGTTCTCCCCCTGGAAGGGCCGCAGTCTGCCACGCCACTGCCACTTACCAGGGAGGGGAGCTGCTTGCTTCGTTTCCCAGCATCTTAAGTTCCAACATGGCGCAGATATCAGGAGCCGCTGGTGGTTCTCCCACAGGAAGGGCTGCAGTGTGCCACACCGCAGCCTCTTACCAGGGAGGCAAGCTTCTTGCGTGATTTCCCAGGGTCCTAAGTTCCAACATGGCGTGGATCTCAGGAGCTTCTGGTGGTTCTCCAAAACATAGGATCTGGCAACAAAGTCAAAACACAAAAGTCAGCTACACCTGGAAGACATCTCTCAGAAGTAGTCATTTCCTAAGAGTTCTAAATACTATGAATAAATCTACGTGCCATAAGCAATTCATAAGCATCTACCCAGGAACTAAGCTAAGGAAGAAAGAGAGAAAGGAAGAAAGAAAGAAAGAAAGAAAGAAAGAAAGAAAGAAAGAAAGGCACAAAATGACAAGACACTTAAGCAACTTGCAACCCAGACTTTCAGCTCACCATAGGAAAACCCAGGGGGCAATGAGGTGGAATAATTTGAAAGCCACCCACCTGGACTCTCAGAAGTGGAAACAGCAGAAGTAACAAAGCAGATAAATGAGGCTCTAGAAAAAAATCAAATTGGAAGTAATCTCTCAGATAACTACAGAGATGGTGATCATAGTAAAAGACATGCTTAGGAACTAGAGCAGATATAGATTTAAAAATAGAGGTGCTTCGGAAAATGATGGAAATCATGAATGCCCAACATAGGAAAAAATGGAATCCATGAAATAGATTCAGATATCCAACAGATTAAAAGTTCCATTGAAGGGATGCATGGCAGAATGAGCCAATGTGAGGATAGAATCTCAGATACCCAAGACAGGATTGTAGTTAGTGATCAAGAAAAGAAAAATTTCTTAAGAATAGCAAGGGACAATGAGAGATCAATCCAGCAGCTGCTAGATGATGCAAAGAAGAGTAACATAAGATTGACTGGAGTCAATGAAAAAGCAGGAGATAGCACAAATAACATAAAAAATCTGTCACAAGTCATACCAGAAAACTTCCCAAGCAAGGAAAAGGAATTTGACACACAGATAAGTGAGGCACCTATCCAAATAGCCATGATCAAAAACAAAAATCTACACCAAGGGATATTTATTGACTATTATAGTCAAGATTCCAGAAATCCAACACAAGAACAGAATATTTAAAGCTGTTAAAGAAACAAATCGTGTATAAAGGAAAGCCCATAAGAATCATAATAGACTTCACAACACAACCCTCAAGCCAAAGAGAGCTCAGAGTGAAGTATTTCAAGTCCTTAAACAAAACAACCTCCAACCTAGATTGATGTACTCTGAAAAACCATCTTTCAAAATTGATGGAGAAATAAGATACATCCATGAAGAAGAACACCTGAGGAAATTCATGAACAGCAAACCACAAAACAACAAATGTTCCAAAATGTTCTGAAGGATACTCTAGAAAGAGGTAGAAAAGGGTTACAACTCCATGAGCCCCAACAGAATGAATCCACCAGGCAAGGCAGTGAACTGAACAGAGGGGGCAAAAGGGAACCAACAATAGGAAAATAACACAATAAGGGTGAGTCAATACATATCAGTTATAACAATCATATAACAATACATATCAATTTAAATGATCCTGATTCACCAATCAAAAGACACAGAGTGGCAGAATGGATCAAGAAGCAAGGTCTAATACTATGCTGCATACAAGAAATGCATTGAATTCAAAAAGAAATTCATAGACTGAAAGCCAAAGAGTGGAAAACAATATTTCAGGCAATGATAACCTGGAAAATGAGCAGGGGTAGCTATTCTATTTGCAGACCAAGTAGATTTCAAACCAAGGCTGATTAAGAGAGACAAAAAAGGTCACTATATCCTTGAAAGGGAACAATCCAAGAGGAAGAGATAATACTCATAAATACATATGCACCAATGAGCAGTAAACCCAACTGTATGAAACGAGTATTAACGGACATGAAAAATCAAATAAGCACTTATATGATTGTAATGGAGGACTTCAATACTCCACTGTGACAAATACATCAACCAGACAGAAAATCAACAAACATATATCAGTACTGAGTCAAACTTTCAAACTAATGGACATAGTGGTGTATACAGAGTGTTGCACCCCACAACATCAGGATACACATTCCTTTCAGCTGCACATGGGATGTTCTCCAAAACAGATCACATACTAGCTCATAGAATATGCTTAAGTAAATGCAAAGGAACTGAAATTATCCCGTGCATATTATCAGACCATAGTGCAGTGAAATTGGAAATCAAGTGCAAAGAAACCCCAAGAACTTCATAAGCACGTGAATTAAGTAACATGTGCTGAACAAACAGTGGGTCACAGATGAAATTAAGGAAGAAATTAGACAGCTTCTGCAACTAAATAATCATGCTAATACAATATATTGGAACATATGGCACACAATGAAAACAGTCCTTCAAGGGAAATTTATAGTGCTGAATTCCCATATTAAGAGAACTGTGAGCTCAAACAAACAACTTAATGTTGAACCTCAAGCTTCTTGAAAAAGAAGAATAAGTCAAGCGCAGAGCTGATACGACAGAGAAAATTATAAAGATCAGGCAGAAATTAATGTATAATGGAGGCTAAGAAAAAAATGCAAAAGGGCTGGGGATTTAGCTCAGCGGCATAAGCGCCTGCCTTGCAAGCAGGCAGTCATGAGTTCAATCCCTGGTACTGATAAAAACGAAAAAGACAAAAAAAAAAAAATGCAAAAAATGAAGAGTTGGTTCTATCAAAGTTTAAACGAAATTGACAAAGCCTTAGTCAAACTTATCAAAAAAGGGGGAAAAAGAGTCAAATTCATGCAATTAGGAATGAAATCACAAGAGATCCTGCAGAAATACAGATCAACACCTACATCAAGAATCTATATTCTAATAAGATGGAATACACAGAAGAAATGCACAGATTCCAAGATCCATATGAATTACCATAGCTGAATCAATTAGATGTAACAATTCTAAATAAACTAATATCAGTCAATGAAACTGACGGTGTAACTAAAACCCTACTAACAAAGAAAAGCCCTGGTCCTAACTGATTCATCTCTAAATTCCACAAGAAATTTAGAGAAGACAATGCCATTACTTCTGAAACTGTTTAAGGAAACTGAAAGGGAAATAGTACTCCCAAACTCATGTCTAGAAGCAAGCATTATGCTGATACCAAAACCAGAGAAGGATTCAACCAAAAGAGAGAACTACAGGCCAATCTCCCTAATGAACATAGATGCAAAAATCCTGTATAGGATACTAGCAAACTGAATGCAGCATTATGCCCAAGTAGGATTCATCCCAGGGATGTAGGGATGATTCAACATATGCAAATCAATAAGTGTAATACGACATACTACAGTAAGCACTGAAATCATATAATCATCTCAATAAATGCAAAAAAGGCATTTGACAAAATCTAATACCCACTCATTATAAAAAATACAGGAAATTGAAATAGGTGGCCTTTAACTCAATCTGATAGAAGCCATCTATGACAAACCAATAGCAACATCATACTAAATGGACACAAAGTCAAAACAATCTCTCTAAAATCAGGACCAAGACAAGAATGTCTACCGTCTCCACTCTTATTCAACATAGGCCTGGAAACTTTAGCTGGAGCAAATAGACAAGAGAAAGAAATAAAAGGAATATGGATATGAAAAGGAAGTTAAATTATCATTATTTGTGTATTACATGACATTGTATATAGAAGACCCCAAAAACTGCACCAAAGACTTCTACATTTAATACCCAAACTCAGTAGCATACCTGGATATAAAGGTAGCATGCAAAAATAAATAGCCTCTCTGTACACAAATAACAAACTCACTGAGAGAAATTAGGGAAGCAAAACCTTTCACAATAGTATCCAAAAATGAAATACCTAAGAATCAATCTAATGAAGAAAGTAGAAGATCTCTACAATGAAAACTGAAGTACTCTGAGAAAGGAGATTGAAGAAGATAACAGGAAATGGAAAAATGTCCCTTGTTCTTGGGTAGGAAGAACCAATACAGTGAAAAGGGCCATATTTTCAAAATTTTTGTACAGACTTAATGTAATTCCAATCAAAATTGCAACAACATATCTCACAGAATTACAGAAAACAATCCTAAAATTTATTTGGAACCAGAAGAGACCTAAAATATCAAAGGCAATTCTGGGCAACAAACCCAAGGAATGGGGCATTACAATTTCTGACTTGATGCTGTACTATATCGCTGCTGTGATAAAAATTTAAAAAAAACAAGCAACCAAAAAACATGGTACCACCCCAACAAACAAATAAAATACCAGACCTGAGGATCAATGAAACATTTTAGAAGATTTAGAAACAATGTCAGACATACTCAGTTATCTTATCTTTGACAAAGGAGCCAATCACTTTCACTGGAAGAAAGATAGTCCCTTTCATAAATGGTACCTGAAAAACTGGCTTTCCACATGCCAAAGATTAAAACTAGATCCATGTTGGTCACCATGCACTAAAATAAATCACATGGATCAAAGTTTTAGAAACACTAAATCTGGCTGGGGATTTAGCTCAGTGGCATAAGTGCCTGCCTGCCTGCCTGGCAAGCACTAGGTCCTGAGTTCAATCCCCCATACCACAAAAAACAAAAAACAACAACAAAAAAAGAAACACTAAATCTATTGGAAGACAAAATAGGTAGAACTCTTGAAGACTGTTAGGTCTGAGAGAAGGGGGAGGAGGAGAGAGAGGGAGAGAGATAGAAGTCCATGGGAGGAATGGAGCGGACGGCCGTGAAAGTAGTGGGCAGCGGTGGCTTTATTCCGGGAATGCGGGGAGGGGGCCCCCCTCCGCCGGCCCTGGGTGCAGCCTCTCCACTGCACCCGGGGCCAGGCTGTGGTTAACACGGGGAGAGGAGACTGGCGCACTGGCTGCTGGAATCCGGCGATCTTTCTCTGGCGAGCTCTCTCTCTGGCGAACTCTCTCGGACACGTGGCATGGGGGAATCTAAATAGCCTAAGCTTAGGGCAGCGCCCTAAGGCCATTAGAGATGCACAGGTATCTCATTGGCACACAGGTTCTTAAGGATGGGGATATAGGGTTACAGTCAAGTCCATAGTGGGCAGGGCGGGGAGGAGTTTAGCTGCAGCCTTTCCTGGTTACAGTGTTCGGTCTGAGCCAGCAACTCTTTCAAAGACTTTAAAAAAATGTT